AATGGGTCTCTCTTTCTCTCTCTCGCTCATCTCTCTGTAAGATTTCTGAATAGCTTTCTGTATCTCATATATTCAATGTATCAAAGATTACAATCAGACCTTAGATTATATAGCCCTAAATCCTAAAACAAAAAGGAAAATACAAATACAATTATAATTATGTCTCTAACAGGACTCTTAACACAATCATGTCTCTAATAGGACTATAATTTGTACACAGCACACAATAATATATTCTATATTCTCACACCCTCGCTCAAACTCAAGGTGTTTTAGCAGAAAACACTGAGAGTTTGCTAAGAAGAAACTGAAACCGAGCGGTAGTGTGAGTTTTGGTAAAGAAATCTGCAAGTTGTAAAGTCGAAGGGATGAAATAAAGCGAGATAGAGGTAGACTGCAGATGCTAGCGAACAAAGTAACAATCAATCTCAATATGTTTCGTCCGTTCATGAAAGACAGTATTGTGGGCAATCTGAACAGCACTGCGGTTGTCACAATAGAGAGGTGTCGGAGAGGACTGAGAGACACCTAAGTCAGTCAAGAGATAGCGAAGCCAAACAATCTCAGCAGTGGCATGAGCCATAGCACGATACTCAGCTTCGGCAGTAGAGCGAGCAACGACTGATTGTTTCTTACTTTTCCAAGAGATCAAGGAATCTCTAAGAAACATACAAAAACTAGACGTAGACTTACGATCAGTAACATCACTGGCCCAATCAGAGTCAGCATAAGCCACCAAGTCCAAAGAGGAAGTAGAGGACAACAATAAGCCCTGAAAGATGGTACCCCTGAGATAGCGAAGAATGCGAACCAAAGCAACCCAATGGGTAGAGCGAGGAGCAGAAACGAATTGACTAACCACATGAACAGCATAAGCAAGATCAGGGCGAGTGACAGTCAAATAAACTAAACAACCCACAAGCTCGCGATATAAAGTGAGATCATCCAGAGGGACACCATCAACAGAGTTAAGCTTCACATTAAGCTCAATAGGTGTATCAGAAACCTTAGTATCAGTAAGACCAGAACGATGAATGACTTCATTAGCATACTTAGCCTGAGACAGAAAATAGCCTTTGGGAGAAGAAACAACCTCAATACCAAGAAAATACCGTAATGGACCCAGATCCTTCATTTCGAAGATGCGGAAGAGATGCTGCTTGACCTCAGAGATAGCAGAAGAGTCCGAGCCAGTGATGATCATATCATCCACATAGAGTAAGAGAGCAACAAAACCAGCCGATGTATGTCGCAGAAATAAAGCAGAGTCGGAAGTAGAAGGATGAAACCTGAGCTCGGTAACAGCAGTCTGAAATCGATCATACCAAGCACGAGGAGACTGCTTTAGACCATACAGAGCACGCCGAAGATGACAAACCTGACCAGAGGGATGGTGAAGGCTAGGAAGAGGACGCATGTAAACCTCCTCAATGAGATAACCATTAATAAAAGCATTCTTAACATCCATCTGATAAAGAGCCCAAGAACGAATAGCAGCGACAGAGATCAAAGTACGGACAGTAGTCATCTTGGCAACAGGGGCAAATGTTTCCTCATAATCAATATCATACTCCTGAGAGAAACCTTTGGCAACCAGACGAGCTTTGTAGCGCTCAAGAGACACATCAGAATGAGTCTTGACTTTGTAGACCCATTTACAACCAACCAAGTTCTTACTAGCAGGCAAAGGGACTAACTCCCAAGTACTAGTTTTCTGTAGAGCAGACAACTCATCTTCCATAGTGTGAACCCAATGAGGGTCTTGACATGCCTCTTTGTAAGACCGAGGTTCTGAAAAAGAGTGAATAACAGACAAAAAAGTACGATAGGAGGCAGGAAAACATGTATTAGACCAACCTAACTTGTTTGGAGGATGACGCGCTCGAGTAGGATATCGGTGTGTAGCAGGATCAGAGTCGGCAGCAGCAGGATGATCAGCAGTAGGGGTAGAGACAACTGGTGGAGGAGGAGCCTTGCGACGAGAATAAACTAACAACGGAGAAGGAGAACAAACTGAAGGAGGAGAAGCAGCCAGAGGCGAAGCAGGAGGAGAAGATGAAACAAGCACAGGAGGAACTATGGAGATGTACTCATTAGACGGTACCTCAGAAGGAAATGGGTCAATGTGAACCAAATCCTCTTTGGAAATCGGAGTAGTGACAAGAGGAAGCTGAAAGTAAGGCAGACGTTCGAGAAAAGAAACATGACGGGAGACATAAAGACGACGGGAAACAGGGTCGTAACACCGATAGCCTTTCTGAGTAGGATTATAACCCAAAAAGACACAGAGGACAGACTGGGTACTAAGTTTGGTCCTATCTTTGTGGGGAATAAGGACAAAACAGGCAGACCCCAACACACGAAGGAGGGAGTAGTTAGGAAATTGGGAGAACAAAGCCTCATAAGGAGACCGACCAGAAAGAATGGGAGTAGGCATGCGATTGAGAAGAAAAGCAGCAGTAAGAACTGTCTCCCCCCAGAATGGAGCCAGAACTGAGGCAGAGAGAAGAAGAGACCTAGTTGTCTCAAGGAGATGACGGTGTTTACGCTCAGCGCGACCATTTTGGGCAGGTGTATCTGTGCAGGAAGTTTGGTGAATGGTACCCAAATTGACCAAATACTCACAAAACTCAGTTTTAAAATATTCCCCACCCAAGTCAGACTGTAACACTTTAATAGTAGACCCAAACTGTGTAGTAATCATAGACTGAAAGGTACGGTATATTTGATAGAAATCGGACTTATGAGTCAGAAGATAAACCCAAGTGTAACGGGTGCAGTCATCAACAAATGACACATAGTATGCAGAACCCCCTTTGGTGAGAACAGGAGAAGGGCCCCAAACATCAGTATGAACTAAAGAAAATGGTGTATCAGATATAGAAGTGCTTTTACGAAAAGGTAAGACTGTCATCTCGGTGAGTTTACACCCTTAACATTCAGTAAGTTCACTAGGAGAAACTTTTCCCAAGATACCTAATTGAGCCAAAGACCGCAAGCGGTCAGCAGACAAATGCCCTAATCTAGAATGCCATAAGTAGAAAGGATTGGACAGAGAATCTAACTGAAAAGAGGAAAAGGCAGTCGGAGAGGTTGTCAAAGGCAGATGCAAGCTCTCTACTACATAGAGGTCCCCAACTCTACGACCAGTCCTAATCTGCTGCTTAGACATCCGATCCTACACAGAACAGATAGAAGAGAAAAAGATAACATCAAAACCAGAGGCGTCAAGTTGACTGATAGATAATAAACTGACAGATAATTGAGGAGCATAAAGAATAGATGGAATAGAGACAGCAGACATAGCAGACGGTAGGACAGACCCAACAGATATAACAGACATACCAAAGCCATTAATAGTATTGACAGTAATAGGAAAATGAGGAGGAGTGCAATTTTGAAGTAAAGAGAGATGGGGAGTCATATGATGAGAGGCACCAGAGTCAAAAAGCCAAACAGACGAAGAAATACTTGAAGAAGACCCAAGCAAACCTGAATGAAGAGAGGAAACAATAGAGGTAGATGGGGATGGCTGCGAGTTAGACAATATATGCCGAAGCTGACTAATCTGAGCAGTCAAGGAAGTTAAGTTAGGATTAGGAGTCGGAGCAGATGCAGTAAAATCGACAGGAGACTGAACAGACAGACATCCATTCTTGGGACAATGGTACTTCCAATGACCCCTTTGATGGCAGTAGGCACACTCATCTGAAGCAAGGAGCCCTTTCTTGGGCTTTACAGAAGCAGAAACTGTCATTATCATAATAAACTGAAAGCTAATGGGGGCAACAAAACCAATATATCCAACATCACAGTATAACGACCAAAAGAGTACGAGGTCTAAATGTAATATCATAAAATAATATGACAATAATCCAATATTAGAGGATTTCAGATGCAAAAATCCAATGGGTCGAACCAGCCTCAAACATAACCCTTTGGAGTGAGAGAAGCTGAGAGGTAACTTCATTTCGATGCAACCAACAGATGCGACGAAGCAACCAAAGAACCATACACTAGGGACAATCGCGTGGCAGAGAGCAGCGAGAAGAAGTCGCGAGTCAAAGACTTGCGAATCAGCTAGGTCGCGAAATTTTTCCAGAGAGCTTCGAACCAGATAAAGAACTAGGGGTTTCGACAGACTGAACTAGAGATGGGTCGAAGTCTTGCAAAACCAAAATGGGTTGACCACGAAGGAGAGTCAGAGAGAGAAAACGAGCTGTGAGGAGGCGATGACTAGATGGGTCGAACCGTTGGATGGGTGCGACTACCAAGTAGCACAAACAGAGAAGAAATCTAGATGGGTTGTCTGAGACAAGGCACAATCATAAGCAGATGGGTCACGAACTAGAATGAGCAGATGAGTCGACTGAGATGAGGCACAATCACACACCAAAGTCGAACCAGAATGAGCCTGGGAGAAGCAAGCACGAACACGAACAAGAGAGTAATGGAGACGGCTCTAGGGTTTCGAATCAGAGAACGACTCTGATACCATGTAAGATTTTTGAATAGCTTTCTGTATCTCATATATTCAATGTATCAAAGATTACAATCAGACCTTAGATTATATAGCCCTAAATCCTAACCCAAAAAGGAAAATACAAATACAATTATAACACAATCATGTCTCTAATAGGACTCTAATTTGTACACAACACACAATAATATATTCTATATTCTCACTCTCTCATCTCTCTTCTCTATTCTCTCTCTGTCTCTCTTGCTCATCTCTCTTCTCTCTCTTTCTATGTCTCTCTCTCTATATATATCTCTCTCGTTCATCTCTTTTCGCTGTTTTTCTCCCTCTTTCGTTGTTTATCTCTCGTTGATCATCTCTTGTTTGTCTCTCTTTTTCTGTTTCTCTCTCTTCCTAGCTCTCATTGCGCAGCAATATGAACACGAAGTTTTTTGGGCAAAAAATGAGTTTTTTGAATTTTTTTGTGACGGCAACCCCCCGTCGCAAAAAAAAAAAAGTTAAACAACATTGTTTTGTTGTTTAAATTTTCATTTGTCACAGAAACTTGACGTCGCAAAAAAAAAAAAACAAAAACAAAAACAAAATCGGAGTAGTGTGCGACGGCGGTGAACAACAAACGACAGCGGCGAGCAAGCGAGCGATGACAGTAATGGTTCTACGTTTCTTTTGTTTTGCTACTATGTTTTTTCTTCTTTTTCTTTATTATTTGGCATCTTTTCACATGAGTATTTCGCAGCTTGTTTTGCAGCTAACATTCTTTTTCTCTATTATACTAATTTATGTTAAAGAGAACGCAGATTGATCGATCGATCGATTGATTTTTAGTATATTGATTGCGAATCATGATCGAACATTCTCTATCTAGATTTGATCAATTGATTGCTTTCGTTCAGATCTGTAAGTTTAGTCCCTATGCACATATTAACATCCTCAAACCGACTCTATTTCTGACTTGTTCGTCGCGACTTACTTTTATCCCCACCACCAACCACTGGAGGTGTGAAGAAGCCTCATAGATACTGCCCTAGAACTGTTGCTCTTCTATGAGTGTTTGATTTTTACAACGAATGTTATATATTACTGTTAGAATACCTATTTTTTTGAATTGAATTTTTTTATCATCGTTTTGTTTTGTTTTTTGTTTTTGAACATGATTTCAAAGCATTGTTGACTATGACTTCTCTGTTTTGACTTTTTATTTGCCAATTTTGTTTTGGTGAAAGTAGTTTGTGGGAATTATGTGATCATTTCCTTACCTTGATTATGTGATCATTGCGGTGAAAGTAGTTTGAATTCTCTGTTAATAGCAACTTAACAGCAAGTTTTTTAATTAAATTCTCCATTTTTTTACATTTTCATCTATTAAATCCCACTTTTTGACTATTTGATTCCTATATTGTACGCGACTATGTATTGATTTTCAATTGCGATTAGAGCTCTTTATGTATATATGTGTTTCATTAATCTATGGTAAAATGTATTCAAATAAAAACTTGAATAATCGTGCCTTATCTTAAACAAATTAAAGTTGGTAATTGTTAATTTTTGTCAGTGTGATTATGGTTTCATTGTCTTGTGGAATTTGAGTAGATCCTTGATGTTCAATATTGGATTTTATTTTGCAAATTTACTTTTTTGTGTTGGGCTTTTAGGATTATTTTGACTATTACCTTGGTGATATCTATGGATCAAATTTAGGATCTCACAAGTTGATGTCACATTGCCACTTCAAACTTTTGCTCGGTTGTTTTGATGGTAGTCATTATGTACAATGAATTAATCCCAGCGATAGGTTATTTATTACACAAGGTTTACATAGAAAGTATAACAATATTCATTTTGTGCGGGCCAGTGAAGAAAGAACCCTTTTGGTCTATTACTTCACATATTTCCTCATATGCTAAAATTACGTTTTTATTAAGAATTTTGAGTTTAGCGACTTGGTGAAATTTACAGGGTTCATAGTTTCTTCATTTTCTGGGTGGTGGAGGTGAAGTCAATTTTGTAGTTGAAATGTGTACCTTTCTATTAAAGCAGAGGATATTTGCTCCTCTTTTGCATTTTGATTGTCTGCATCCATATTCGTGCCGGTCTGTGTTGTAAAGCTTGTTAACACCAGCTGTTGTGAACCCTCTTTCGTCTTAGTATTTAACGTATGTCTCTGTGGATGCAAAGCTTTTTTCTTAATCTATTTGGTAATTTTTGACAGGCCCATCCTGTATTAATGGTGATTGGTCTAGTACTTCTAAACGGTGAAGGTAAATACTGGTTCTTTGCTCATGACTGAGTTGTATTTATCTCAATACCAGCAGGAAAGTTCTTGACCATAGTTTGGAGAGTGCAGTGATTTATTCATATGATAAATTTGAGTATGGACTTATTGACAATGTCCAATAAAGCATCTACCCAATTGTTCCTCTTTGGCACCTATCACTCTTGGTAGAAAATACCAAATATGATTTAAATAATTTATGGTTTTTAGTTGACAAGTTTGTCTTTGAGTTTTGCCATTTTAATCTACTTTGAAATTCTGTATTCTTAAAAGGAGTAGTGTGCATTAAAGCTATTCTCCATAATTTTCTCTCTAATTTATATGAATTATGTGCAAGTTTCTCATGTCCATCATGGTTTAAGATTTTTCTTATTGCTAGCTACTTGATTTCTTTATGAAATTACTGAGAATGTTGGTTTACTTGAAATATGCATGAAAAGCCATGGATATTTGGGTTATTATAGATGGGCACGATATCTACTAGAGATGAGCTCTTCTTTTGACTCTTGTGCAGCTAGATATTTGTAACACTATTTGATATGAATCTATTTCTTGGGTTTTCTTATTGCACTTGACTATTTTAGGTACTTGCACATATTCACTACCTGATAACATGAGGTAGCGATGTCTGAATCTAGTACTGGTTATGCTATTGCCATGTAGTTGGGACGAATGTTGGTGACATTAGCATTTGGGAAGTTGGATCTCGAGAAAGGTTAGCACATAAACCCGTTAAGGTTTGGGATCTCTCAGCTTGTTCAATGCCATTGCAGGTAAAAATTTCATTGGTATTAGCTACCTTTGACATGTTATCTGTGGTATCTTACCATTTTTATGTAAAAAATTTCATAATTTCTAGACAGCTTTGGTGAAAGATGCCACCATATCTATTAATCGATGCATTTGGGGCCCAGATGGATCTATACTTGGTACATCTAAATGCTTTACTTTCAAGCACTGGAGTTTTTTTTCTTTTTCTTTAAATTCCTTTTTAGGAATTGTGTTTTATTGCTTATCTTACATATTCTCTTTCATAGGTGTTGTTTTCTCAAGAACCTTGTTCAGATATTTACTTACAACCCAGCAGGAGAATTAAGACAACATTTGGAAGTAAGCTCTGTTATATGTTCATTTTTTTTTTCTAATAACGAGACCAATGTTCAAGTACTTGATGACTTTTCCCCAGTTCCACATTGATGCTCATGTTGGTGGTGTTAATGATATTGCCTTTGCTCATCCTAATAAGCAACTTTGTATTGTCACATGTGGTGATGACAAGACAATTAAGGGATAATTGTAATAAGATTTTAGGGTGTTTTAAGTGGAGTTTTCTTATGCATCTCTTTGTGTAATAGGTGTGGGATGCTGTAGCTGGACGCAGACAGTATATATTTGAAGGCCATGAAGCTCTTGTATATTCTGTCTGCCTCTATTATAAGGAGAATATTCAGGTGAATAATTCTGATACTTGAGAGCCAACTGCTTTCTGTTTCCTTATCAGTTGTTTGGTGTCACAAGAATGATTTTTGTTGATGTTTTGTTGGACAATTATCTTCCATTTTCTTAGAACATTGACATTGTTCACATGATACTAACTAATGCTATTTATTTATGAGTTCAGGTGGGGTGACATAGAGTTTCCTCTTCCCTTTGGAAGAGTTCTGAGTCCTACAAAAAGCGTCATTCACTCATTGGATGAAAAGGTAAGTGCATTACTTTTTATTTATGCATAGTATAAGAAATTTTATATTTTGAGTAATCACCAATTGTTAAGTTGTAGAAATTTTCTATTTTGGTTTTGTTTTTGTTTTTTTTTTTTAATTTTTTTTTATATAGTTAGTTGAGCCACAAAGTGTGCCTGTATATTAAGGAAATGAGCTTTTTGATTGTAGATGCATTTTTGACTCGATATTAAGGAAAGTGTGCCTGTATATAAAGTGCCCCTGAAGGAACTTTTGTGTTGCTTCGTGGCTGTGCTCACAACCCAGCTGGCATTGATCTAACCCCAGAACAATGGGAAAAAATTGCTAATGTCATTCAAGAAAAGAACCATATTCCATTTTTTGATGTTGCATACCAGGTATTGCTGACTTTTATCTACTTTTTTTATTTTTATAAGTATTTAGTAGTTTGGATTGCTTAATTTGAAGCTTTTAAATTTTAGTTTATGCATTGATTTCAGTCCCCTGAAATGAAACTTTATTTATTAATATTTTTGAAGTAAAGTCTCATGCTAATCAATATATGTACATATACATATTGATCAACATCAGGGACTGTTCTGTTTATCAAAAAAAAAAAAAATCAGGGACTGTTCTGACTAGTCAGGGAAAAAAAATAAGGGTTATTTACACTTTGCCCCTTCAACTATCACCGAATATCATTTTACCCCTCTTAACTTTAAAGCCATACACTTAGACCCCTCAATGATAAAAAAAAACCCATCTCATCGTGGACAAAAAAAACCCCTCAACGCGAGACTTGTGAGAGAAGATGGAACTCAAATTGGGTTCCCGGTTTGGGAGTTAGAGCCAAATTTCGCTCTAGGCAAACTAGTTCCTTAAAAAACTTAGAATTTGAGTTGTTGATGCCCCAAAATCACCAAATGGCTTTGGATTAGCACGAAACTTGGCACACACGACCGCTTTGGCATGAGAGACTTGTGGGAGAAGACGGGACTCGAATTAGGGTCCTGGTTTGGGAGGAGTTAGAGCCGGATTTCGGTCTAGGCAAACTAGTTCCTTAATAAACTTAAAATTCGAGGTGTTGACCCCCCAATATCACCAAACGACGTCGGATTAGAATGAAACTTGGCACACATGACCATCTTGGCATGAGAGACTTGTAGGAGAAGACGGGACTCAAATCAGGTTCCCGGTTTAGGAGTTAGAGCCGGATTTCGGTCTAGGCAAACTAATTCCTTAAGAAACTTGGCATTTGAGGTGTTGATGCCCCAAAATCACCAAATGGCATCGGATAAACACGAAACTCAGCACACACAACCACCTTGGCACGAGAGACTTTTGAGAGAAAACGGGACTCGAATCGGGTTCCCGGTTTGAAAGTTAAAGCCGGCTTTCGGTTTAGGCAAACTAGTTCCTTAGTAAACATAGAATTCGAGGTGTTAACCCTCCAAAAACACAAAACGGCGTTGGATTAGCACAAAACTTGGCACACACGATCGACTTGGCACGAGAGACTTGTGGGAGAAAACGAGACTCAAATCGGGTTCCCAGTTTGGGAGTTAGAGCTGAATTTCGGTCTAGGCAAACTAGTTCCCTAAGAAACTTGGCATTCAAGGTGTTGATAATCCAAAATCACCAAATGGCGTCAGATTAGCACGAAACTTGGCACACAGGACCTGCCTTGACACGAGAGATTTATAGGAGAAGACGGGACTCGAATCAGGTTCTCGATTTGGGAGTTAGAGCCAAATTTCGGTCTATGCAAACTAGTTCCTTAAGAAACTTAGAATTTGAGGTGTTGACACCCCAAAATCACCAAACGACGTCAGATTAGGATGAAACTTGGCACACACGACCGTCTTGGCATGATAGACTCTTGGGAGAAGACGGGACTCAAATTAGGTTCCCGGTTTGGGAGTTAGAGGCGGATTTCGGTCTAGGCAAACTAGTTCTTTAAGAAACTTAGCATTCGAGGTGTTGACGGCCCAAAATCACCAAACAGAGTCGAATTAGCATGAAACTTGGCACACGACCGCCTTGACATGAGAGACTTGTGGGAGAAGATGAGACTCCAATCGAGTTCCCGATTTAGGAGTTAGAGCTGGATTTCGGTCTAGGCAAACTAGTTCCTTAAGAAACTTAGAATTCGAGGTGTTGATGCCCAAAATCACCAAACGGCGTTGGATTAGCACAAAACTTAGCACACATGACTGCCTTGACACGAGCGACTTGTGGGAGAAGACAGGACTCGAATTGGGTTCTCGGTTTGGGAGTTAGAACCGGATTTCGGTCTAGGCAAACTAGTTCTTTAAGAAACTTAGAATTCAAGGTGTTGATGCCCCAAAATCACTAGACAACGTCAGATTAGCACGATACTTGGCACACAAGACCACATTGGCATGAGAGACTTGTGAGAGAAGATAGGACTCGAATCGAGTTCCCGGTTTGGGAGTTAGAGCCAGATTTTGGTCTAGGCAAACTAGTTCCTCAAGAGACTTAGAATTCGAGATGTTGACGTCCTAAAATCACCAAACAGCGTCAAATTAGCACGAAACTTGGCACACACGACCGCCTAAACACGAGAGACTTGTAGGAGAATACGGGACTCGAATCGGGTTCCCGATTTGAGAGTTAGAGTCGGATTTCAGTTTAGGCAAACTAGTTCCTTAAGAAACTTAGAATTCGAGGTGTTGGTGCCCGAAAATCGCCAAACAGCGTCGGATTAGCATGAAATTTGACACACATGACCACCTTGGCACGAGAGACTTGTGAAAGAAGATGATACTCAAATCGGGTTCCCGAGAGTTAGAGCCAGATTTCAGTCTAGGCAAAATTATTTATTTAATTATCTGTGCAATTGTATAGTAGTTAGATTTTTATGTTTTTTGTAATTAACATATTAACACATAATTATATTATCATTAATTACTTTTGTTTTTTGTTGTCAGATATTTCCCGAGTAGGAGTTTGCTTTTTGTGGAATGCATGCTTGTGAAGAATGCGACTAACTTTTGTTTTTGTTATCCACGGAGAATGATGAAGAAAACTTTTGTTTTTGGTTTATGTTATTTTGAATTATGAACAACATTATGTATTTAAACATTATATATATATATTATGCAACATTATGTAGTGGGGTAATTTTGCTGATGTGTAGTTATAAATACAAGAATATTTTTATTATGGAGAAATTGTTATTTCTATATAGGATTTTTTTTATTATTATTATACAATTATTGGTTTCTTTTTCAATTTTTTCCGTTTAATACAGGTAATTTGAATTTTTTTTTTCAACATCAAAACACATACATCAAAAATATATTTATTGATTATCGACTATTTTTTTTTTGTATACTTAATTCAGCTAGCAGTGATGATTGGTTATTTACTGGGCTATCTAGCTTATCCTTATTTTATTTTTTTCAAATTCTGAGGAGTAGAGTTGTGTGGGGTTTTTACTTGTGGGAGTAGGATGTTGAAATTTCTCCTAGAACCTGTTTGCCAAGTAGGTGAAGACATTAGGAGAAATTTCATTGTTAAGAATCATTTGCAAGAAGGTGAAGATACTAGGAGAAATTTCAACATCCAAAAATGAAATTTAAGTCAATAAGTTGGCCTTGCCTCTCGACAGAGTGTAAATTCAAGTGCATTCTTATAGCCAACTTGGCAAATGCATTTTGATATAAACTTCAATACTCAAAAACGGAAAATTGATAATTTAAATAATTGGTAATCAACTTACAGACTCGGGGAATGAACCAAATTTTTTTAGAAGTGAAGAGATAGATCCACCGGGGACAATTTCCAACAAAATATTCAAAGATTCCTCCTCTCTAGTTGTTCCCAAGTATCTCTTCAAATAAAAAAAGAAAAGATAAGTAAAGTCAGAAAACCAACCAAAAAAATAAAAAAAGACAGACAAGATAATAAAAATGAACAACGATTGCTTCAGGAAGAATGCAAATCAAATACTTACAACAATGTTTGGATGTGAAAGATTCTTAAGAAGGTTCACTTCTTCTTCAAGCTCTCTAATGTGGGCCTAAGAAAAATTAAAGAAAGGTCAAATTCAGATAACATACTCTTGCCAACAACTAAAGCAAAAATCTTTAAAATTTAAAATAGAAAACTACCAATTTAGTATCACAAACGCAATACTTCATAAACAAATTGTAAGAATCAATAAATAAAGTGATTAAATTGGAAATCAACAAAACCTGTGTTTTCTCTTTTGAAGCACTGTTGACTAGTGCTTTATCTCTTCAAGAAAAAGAAGAGACGAGTAAAGTCAGAAAACCAACCAAAAAAATAAAAATAGACAGACAAGACAAACCAAACCAAACCAAGCCTTAAGTGTCATCAAATAGATAATTGAAACTTGTGGCGCAACAAAAACAAGCCCTTTATCATTAAGAAACCCTAGAATTCTTATGTGAACCCTAGGGGTTTGTTCATGATTATGATTCAACCTTTGACAGTTATCCCCGACCAATTCAAGACTCTCTTTGGTTGCCTTCTTTCTCGGATTAATATATTTGCTTTGGCTCATGCATGCATACTTACACACTCTAGTGGATTTGAACTACATGATTGGTTGCTTTAGCTCTCAACTTTGTTTTGTACTTGCAAATATCAATAATTGAGTTGCGTTGAGTTGCCTCGATTTATGTTTAGGTTTAACCTAGGGAGTTAGTTTTGCTTCAATAAGTTGCACAAATAGTCATGTTTTCGTTGCAAAATTTTGAGACTATTATGGTTGACCAAATGTGGTGTCATTAGCAAGTTGATTTGCTCGTTGAACATGGGGCTTTGATTGTAGATGATATATACAGTACCACAATCATATATGCTTACATGTTTTATAAAATGCTTTATTCTGTTTATTTACTTGTTTACTTTTTGTGGGAACAAATTTTTAATCTGAAATGGGACAATTAGTGAGTTGATTTCAACTCAGGTTCATTGAACTTGGGGCTTGTGACCGGAGTTGCAAGTTCCAATTTGATTCATTTAGGTTAGTGATGCACAGCTAGAGGTTGAACGTTAAGAGTGCATAGGCTCCACTCATTTTGTTAATATAGTTGGACCCTTAATATTGCTTAGTTTCATCTACGAGGAATATTGCTTGGTCAGATGATTAGTCGTGTATGGATTGATTTTTATTTTTTTCCCAAATCATGAACTTCAACTTTTACTTAAGAAGTTAAGCTGGACCTTTGGCTTCAATTCGTGCTTGTTGCAACAACGAGCTTGGTTCTACAGTGTTTGCCAGGCTTGTTGAGCCAGTGCTGAGTTGGTGAGCAGTTCTGGATGAGCACTGTAGTAATTATTTTCTTTATGGTTTTTATTTTAAGCTGTATATCTTGCCTATAGTTTTATTTTCATTTGTGAGCCTAATTTTGTCGTGCTTGTTTATTTGTGTAAGAAAAAATTAATGTATTATTGATTTATGTATTACAAGATATATTCTATTACAAATCAGAGTGGCTCATTATATAGGAGAGGGTTTGGGTAGTAGGTGAGGAGTAGGTGAGGGTAAATTGGTGGTAGGTGTAGTAGGTGTGGTAGTAGGTGGTGGTAGGTGTAGGTAAATTCTAACAATTTGATATCAATACTAGTTTCTAGCAAAGAGGAGGTGGATGCTTCCGACAGCTTTTGTATTCAACCAGTTGACTTGAAACACTTTTTTGAAGATGGAAAAATTTACGGTTACCAAGGGTTGAAGGAAATACACCTTTTTGTTAAATTGGAAAATTTGGTTAAGACTCCATTGTTGATAATTTAATGCTCTTGAAACTGTATCTTCCCATTTTGGCGTTTGTGCCCAAATTTTATTGGTGATTATTGAACTTCTGTTTTTGTTTCTATCTCCTTTTCAGTAGTTGCTTGCTCTTGTTGAGGCCTTGTGCATTCATGTCCTCAGTGTGAAGGCTATGAAAGTTGCATTCATGGATATGCATGCTTTTTATCAAGCTAAAAAAAGTTCTTTTTGTTCATAACATATAATAATATACTTTCCTCCTGCACAACCCAGATCATCATGCACAATCTCTTGCATGAAAATATATTAAACATTAAGGCCATATTTGGGATTGTTTTCATTTTTGTTGTTTTTGGTTTTGGTGAAAATAAAAATAATGAAAAACATTGAAAGCACCTATGATTTTTATATGGTTTTCATTTTTGTCTTAATTTATTTTCAAAGATTTACAAAGCAATTCCTAAAAAAGAGGTGTATGCAGAATTTTTTTTTTTCAAAAATAGTCTACCAAACAAGCTTTTTTGTGTCAGTTTCCATTTTTTCTATTTTCTAGAATATAAAATGAAAACAATAAATGTGCCCTAGTTGTTTATTTGGAACCGTTCTTTTTTAGCTTGCAAATGTTAATTTATTTATTTGTAATTTATATTTTATCACAAATCATGCAGATCACCATCTGGGTCAACAACATATCTTTTCATGCATATGCTGAGATTACATTTCGGAGCACATCTGATGTAAGTATTTACACTTATCTTTAGCCTGATTCTAGCTTTGTCTTCTGATGGTTTGCTAATGATTTATATCCCTTAACTGTTATAAGGGAGGCAAAGGGATTACAGATCTGAAATCTGCTCTCCAGGTAATCATGGACCACCCATCTTAAGCTATTCCCTTGATATCCAATATCCATTTACTCATTGAGTTCTGATCTTTAAGTCATTCCTTACAGAATATTTTTGCTGAGAATATTGTTGAGAAAAAGGAGGATTTCCTTCAAACATTTTCAACTGACTGTGATTATGTTAAGTATGTTTGGTCAATGACTTACCTTTACATTTGATGCTTTCTCATTTTGTCTTATGAAATTGTGTTATCTTGGTTGTTAGATTATTGTTAAATTTGATATTGTGATTTTTGTTCTTTGTCACAGATCCATTATCTTGAAAGGGGAGATATTGCAGCATAACACCACCAATGGGCACAACAGTGATTCTAACAGTTATTTGAAGACAGATTGTTCTAATTTGAAGGTGCTCTTTAACACCTTTGATGTATTATTGTTAGTGAATACAGTGCTTGCCTGTTTTGCATTTCATGGATTTGATATAAAGACTTGCTATGATTAATGGTATTGAATGTTGGGTAGTTAATAAAAGAAATGTTTGTAAAACGACTAACTGAAATGAGAATATTGAGATAGATAGTCTTTCATACAATGGTTAAGCTTTCTTGGCATGCTATCTACTAAAGATAGGATCAAGGATTGGGGTGTGGTAGATGATATATCTTGTGTGCTTTGTAATGTTTTTTTTTTTTTTTTTGGATAAATAAATGGACTTTATTAGAAAAGCATCAAATGATGCAAGGAATACAAAAATCACCCACAAAGGGCCAAACCGAACTATCTAAGTAAATCCTTCACAAAATCTACAAAAACCAACACACTTGGATCAGCTGAACCCGTAATCCAACTATGCAAAACCAGCAACTATCTTGTGTGCTTTGTAATGTGGAGATGGAATCACATAATCATTTGTTTTTTGAATGTTGCTTTTCCCACTATGTTTGGAAAGAGATTTTGTTGAGTAAGCATGTGAGTAGAAAGAAACCCTATGTCCTTTGTAGCTGAGATTGATTGGGTAGTTCACAATATAGATGGAAAGTTTTTTGGCCATTCAGTACACAAAGAGATCAAGTCGATTGCACAGAAGGTATGTCCTCGAAGTTCATGAAGACTTGCAAGGCCATTCCATTGCTGTTTGGTGTCCATGAATCTGCCAAGAAAGTGAAAGCTTTGGAAGAGGTTGGAATGCATTGAGGGCTTGCCTGTAAATGAATGAGCTGTTTTCCTTAGTTCTAGAATGACCTTTAATTTGCAGTCATGTTATTTGGATTATTAGCTAGAACTCCTTCATGATTTATGAAGTGAAATCTGAAATCATGTTATTATTCTATATTTTGAGCAAGCTGTAGGTAGGTGCTATTATTAACACATACATGGAAAACAGCCAACTTTTATGTTCAATTTGTTTTGGCATATTTTATTATGCACAATTTGTTTTGGCATATTTTGTGGCGTTTAGTACGATGACATGAGACAAATGTTAACAGAAAATGTGTTTTTGTGATCAACGAACAAGTTTATTTGGGTGTGAAAAATATTTTCTACTTTTGAATTGTGAAAAACATTTTCGAATTGAAGTTTGACCAATGTCACCATACTATCACCGCCACCACCCCACCACCACTGTTGACACCACACTACCACCTCTGCATCCCAATACTACTAATACAATCTCTAGTATGTTAGTTTCAAAGTTGAACATAACTTGAAGCTCAAAGCCTTGCTCGGATCAAAGGTACGTACCAGTTAGATCCCTGGAATCCTAGTAGCACTTGACAATTCCATGAACTTTAACAGATAACTAGCTCAATCATAAATGCACATAGTAAAACCCCTAGATCTGCTTCTTGGCACAAACAGTAATTTTCTATGGAATCACTTCATTACAATACCATAAATTGTAGCCAAAAAAAGTGTTCTCTGAATATCTAAACTCTACAACTAGTTAATTCCAAGCACACATCCTCGCACAACCATCTCAAAATTGCATACATTTTGGACTACTCTTTAGACTCTATTATGCCTCACCTGTCTTTGGTTTGTTCAGGTATACAAAATAAGACATCGGTAAGATTGTAAGATGTTATAACTCATAAGGCAACGGTAATCATTGATGAGAAGGTCTGGAATGATTCGGAAAAAACAAGCACGATGCTGACAGTCTCATGATATTCACACAAGTTGCCTTAAATCTTGTGGACGCTATAACCTGCATCCTCCGCCTTCAAGTCCTCCCTCCAGTTCTCGAATTCAGATCCACCAAACACCACTTGCTTACTTCCAATGTAGCTGTCAAATAAAAAGGCAATTGGGTGAGTTTCCTTTGGCAACAACCATTTTTTTAAAAAAAATTATCTCTTTTTTTAGTTTATCTAGACTAGATGACTCTGAAAATTGAAAATAAAAAATAAAAAATTCAAGAAAAAAGCTTATTAAAAATGGAAATAAGTCAAATTTTATCAAAAAAGCCTATAAAAATTGACCCCCTTTTTCCCTTCTAATTCTTTTTTTTTTTTTTAAAAAAAAAGGACAAAAAACAAAATATTTAGAATTGTAAAGTATCATATTTTGACTCAAAAGTTAAAAAAAAAGTTCACTAAAGCCAAAATAAAGCCTCAAACATTTGTCAACTTATCTGAAACAAGAGGCTTAACGGCAAATTCAATTGGAGACGAGGGTGTGAAAACAGCAAAAGTTGAACCAAAAATAAAAAAAGGTGATCGACCAACAAATGAGCAGAGAGCAGAATGATAGAAGAAAGCATAGCCTAGCAATTTCATATCACATTCGTATACACAAGTATACAGGAATCATGCTGCAAGAAAAATTGTGCAATCATGCTCCAGAAAACCATTAAAGTTCGTCATGAACTTTTTTCTTGGTTTTTCTTGGTTTTTTTTATCTTTTTTGTCTTTTTTTTTTTTTTTTTTTTTTTTTTTTTTTTTGTTTTTTTTTTTTTTTTTTTTTTTTTTTTTTTTTTTGGGTCTCCCTTTTCTTATACAACCGCTCAAGATTCACTTTTTGCTTTCTAGCAGGCTCAAGGCTATGTGCATGAAAACAAATGATTTTGAACTGATGAAAAAGTTAAAGAAAATATTTCCACTGAGAGAGAGAGAGAGAGATGGGAGCTTACTCAGAGCTTATCTGTGTTAAAGCATTTATCAAAATATCCAAGAGTAATGGCTCACCGGTACCAATATCCACCCTGTTGAAAATTTGACCAAATGCATAAGTGGAGAAAATCATTTCTTCGGTCCACAAGAATACTGCGTTAAGATAATCAACTGATATTTTGAACCAGAAGCATACCATATGCGTGCTAAGTTGTCTTGAATCTCAAGATCCCCAATGTTATAAGAATTATATTAAGCATCACAAAGTCGGAGTTATTTACTGGAACTTCAGATATATTCAGTAAACCGTTGGTAATCCTAGCACTAAACTTGGCATCCATTTATTAGCACTTTTCTATGGATTGTAGATTGAAAAACAAAATTTGGTTGAGTTTTAAAAATAAGTTTTCTGTTTAGTTTGGTTTAAAAATAAATAAATAAATAAATAAAAATTAAAAAAACACTCATCATTTTCATATGATCCTCTTTTTTGGGGCACATATAATTTTTGAAAATTTAAAAATATGTTTTTGGTGCTTACTTTTGTCAAATTAGTTTCTATTTTTTGAACACAGAAACAGAAAATAGATTCTAAAAACTCAACCAAAGATGGTGGTATATATATGCTATTATTAAGTGAAGGCTTAAATTAATTTAGTAAAGCATTATTTTTCTCATGTCACGTGACAACTTTATATATACTAAAATAAAAAAATATATATATTATATAGAGCATAAAGCAAGTTTTGAATCCAAGACCTTGGATTTCATTGAGAACATGCTTATTACTTAAGCAGCATACATATTATAATATTAAATTCTTTATTATTTATTTTTATTATTAATTATCTGAATTGCATACACATCATGTATGTCACTCGTCAGTGGACTATAAAAGCAACTTACTTGCATATTCATTGAATTGCATCCAACTAGACGTCCAACAATGTGCTATGACCGAATTGTCTACATATAAGCACGATCAACCGAGTAATGGAGAATCACTTGCAAATAAAGTTAGGATGAAAGAGAAGTTTTTACTTACATTGCAAATTAAGGTAACATCTTTCTCCAGTGGAATGTGTAGAATTCAAACCATATATACGAGTTTGAAAACTCAAAACTGATAATGTCAAACATGGATAATAAGTAAAGAAAAATAGATACATATTATAAACTTTTAAATAAAAGGAAATGAAGCACACTACAACAAAATGTACCTTTGACTATCAAAATTGGCGACTAAAAAAAATTTAGTCGCCAACAGCGACCAAAAAATTTTTTAATCGGCAACAATATTTAACTACTAATTTTTTTTAGTTGAGGTATGTTGATTATTGGCGACTTAAAAAAAAATTAGTCACTAAAAATACTAGAATTGGTGACAAAAAAAAAATTTAGTCGCCTAACATTGAGTTTTGGCTACTAAAACCATTTAGTTGCCGAATAGAAAATAAAAAATTATTTTTTATCTTTGGCGACCAAACATTTGGTTGCCAAAAACATATGTTCAACGAAAAAAAATATTGAGTTTTGGCGACTAAACCATTTAGTCGCCGAATGAAAAATAATAATTTTTTTTTTTTTTTAATCTTTGGTAACCTATCTTCAGCGACTAAAATTTAGTTGGCAAATGTGTTCAAAATTTTAGTGGGAAATATTTCATATTGGCACCTAAAATTTTGCCCAAATCTCTTAGGCTCCGTTTGTTTTCATAAGTAGAATGGAGGGGATTGATAGTGAGAGGATTAATAGTGGGGGGATTGTTAGTGATGAGATTGATAGTGAGCAGATTAAATAAAATTGTGTTTGTTTTGATGATAGTTGTTAGTGTGGGGATTGTTAAATTATTTTTATATAAAATAAATATAAAATAATAAAACAAATAAAAAAAATACAAAAACATTAAACATTAATGTTTTAAAAAAAATGCCCAACATGTAAAAACTTTCAAAAAAATAAAAATAAAATAAAAAATTTTCAAAAAAAATAAAAAAAATAAAATAATGATTTTTACTTAACAAAAAATACAAAAAATTAAACATTAATGTTCAAAATAAAATAATATTTTTACTTAACAAAAAATTAAACATTAATGTTAAAAAAAAAAATGCCCGACATGTAAAAAATAAAATAAAATATAAATAAAAATAAAAATTTTATAGTCCGCTGAACTATTTTTCTAATACCAAGTCCTACAGGCTTATCCTAATCCCCTCCCCAAGGGGATTCGTAGTCCGGAGGGGATTACGAATCTCCTCTCCATCTCTCAAAACAAACATGATATCAGTGGGTTCTACTCACTATGAATCCCAATCCCCTCCCTATAACCCAAAACAAACCGGGCCTTAGTATTTACACGGTTCTTTCTCTCTCTTGCTCTCTCTCTCTCTCTCTCTCTCTCTCTCTCACACACACACACACAGAGAATCAATTACCACCGCCTCTCATCTCAACATCGCACACGACCACACTGTCCGTCAATCTTCCACCGTCAAACATTGCCACCGCAGTTCACTATTGCCTCGCCTCCCATCGACATTCAGGTTATTTTCTGCCCTTTTTCGATTGAAGCTTTTGACTGATTTCGATACATGTAGATATAGTTATGTATATATATATATATATATATCGTAATCTTCGTTCAATTTTCTATAGATTTCTTTGACATTGTGCTTGCTTTCTTTACCGATTGAAGTTTTTGACTGATTTCAATTCATATAGTTATGTATCTGGAGGCAACAGAGCCTTTTCCACTTTGATTTTGGGATATATTTTGAAGTTTTGTTAAATGCTGGTCAAGCTCTGCCTTATCTATTTTCTAGGCCCTAATGTGCTTTCCCCTTATCTATTTTCGAAGAACATTTTTAGAAAATTTACTTGCTTTTATTTTATTATTTTCATTTTTCGTTTATCTATTTATTCTTTTGACTTTAGAAATCCCAACAAACAGAGCTATGTTGTTTCTAATGACAGCTTTTGTTGGTCTTCCAATGATTTCATTCAAGTAAGTAGTTGTTCATATTCTTTTTGGCAAAAATTTACATGCTCATTTCTTAACTGTTCGTATGTGATGATCAGATTGACCTTGCTTTACATGGTGTTCTGTTCTTGTGCAATGTGTACAATGTTTATAAGGGTGTTCAGGCAAGGAAATGAAGCATGCTACTGGCTTTGGCAATGGTAAGCCTATTACTGCTGAATGCTTCATCTGTGTTTTATTTTTATTTATTTTTCAAGTTGCTCAATGGATGTCGTCACCATTTCTTGTCAGCTTTACCCATTTTCTATGCTCTTGGTAGGAGTTGTGGTGTGGTATGTAACCTCTATTTTTATACTTGGCATTGTGAGCTTTTTGCTATTCATACGAAATCTTAGATGTTTGTTTAAAGGTGAAGGAAATGAAGTACAATAAAATTAAATTGAACAAATACAATTGGGTTGGTTCTATTATTTGGGACACTTTTTGCAGAAAGTAAACCCAAGAATTTGTAACTGAAGTGCATTGCACCACAATATTTGGGACACTTTTTGCATCTGTTAATAATGTTATTTAATGTGCCTCTGTCTACTTATTTTTCATTGTCTTCCTGCTGCTTTGGACATCCAAATGGATGAAGTTTAAATTTCTGTACGAAAGATGCCTTCCTGCTGCTTTGGACATCCAAATGGATGAAGTTTAAATTTCTGTACGAAAGATGCTACATATAAGCATTTAAAAAAACCAAAGAAAAAAATACATCAGTGATTGCTAAAAATTTTGTTAGCAATTATATTTTCTTCTAACCTTGTCCTGTTGTTTGTTTATTGTGTTTGATTTGTTACGTTTCATGTTTTCCCAATGTGCCCTTGTGCAGATTTATATAAATTCGAGTATGCAAAACTAATGATTTATTTGAAAATATTAATTATATTCGAGTTTTATATGTTTTTTTTTTTTTATAATTTTAAATATGCCAATATTCAGTTAATACTAATGATTAATTTTATTTTTACAGATGATTTTTGACGTAGATGGTTTGGAGGACTAAATGTATATGCAAGAGCTGTGATCCATGTACCATATCCTACACTTGCAGCGGATTTTACTTTACTTATTGGTGATTGGTACAAGACCAACCATAAGGTGAGGAAATCTATATTTTAATGTCTATATCTGAAATTTTTTGAAAATAATGGCATTGGCAGTGTGCATTTGTTAAATAATTCGGAATACATTATTTTAGATAATATTTGTGTTCTAAAACCAATTCAATAATTTTTTTTAAAGATAATGGTTTGATCTTGCAAGATTAAATTTTTGTGGGTTGTTGGTTGAGGCTAATTTTGTTTCTTGAGAATGTAAGGGATGAAATTCTGATTAAATGACAATGGAATGGGAATTTGGGAAATTGCTTTATGCCATATAACTTGCGATGACTTCTTCTGATGTAGAACCATAGGATGTGGAATTAAATCTTGTATTATATCTGTTATAGTGTCTGGTTTATGTGCTAGCTTGTAATTTAGATTTGGAATATAATCAATCGTATAATGCTCTGGATCTCCTTATGGATTATAATATAATGTGATTTATCTTATCAGTTTAATATTTTATGAAATGTTGAGGGAAGTTCCTTTTGTTTCTTAAAGGTTGAAAGTATTAAAATGATGATATAAAGAAATTTGCATGGCATGGCATGAGAATCAGGGAATCTGTGACATAATATTCATAAAAAAAAATTAAAAAAAATCATTTTTTGAAAGAGAATTGAACTTCAGCTTATGTTTAGTTGAGATGGATTGTCATCGGAACTACAATTAGATTTTTCTTCATTGTTAGATTCTTGTGGATTGCTTTTTCTACTTTCCAAAGCCATCCAAGATATTGATCATTGTAGCTTGTAATTATAAAAATACAACTATCATGTCATTCTAAATGAGTTTTATATATAAAAATTATATTTATTTAGATATTGTCTGGAATAAATCCCACCCAAGCTATGGAACTGTCATGTCCTTTGAGAACTGGAGTTTTCTAATTCTTTACATTCCCTTTTCTCTGTCTCCATCTCTCCATTTTTCTTCTCCTTTTTTTTTTTTGTTTTTCTTCTTCTAACGTGTTTTGTAATTATGTGGTTTAGGGAAACTTGTCGAAGAGATCACTCCACAGTAATGCAGAGAAGTTTGAATTTCAAGCTGAGGTGTCTTGGCTTATGAACATCATTATCAACTCACTTTACAGCAATAAAGATACACTACAGGCAATCGCATTTTTGGCAACTAAAAATTTGGTCAGCAAAAGTCCATTTTTAGTTGGCAAAAGCTATTAGCGACCAATTTTTTTGGTCGCCACCTTGGTCGCCAATTGAGGGTCGGCAAAAGTAATTAGAAACCAAAACTTTTGTTAGTCAAAAAAAAATTGGATTTGCCGACTAAATCTTTGGTCGCTAAATATATCATTACTGCGACTAATCCATTTAGTCGTTAAAACACTTTAGTCGCGAAAAGTGACATGTTCCCGACCAAACATGTTAGTCGCTAATTGTCACATTCCACGACCAAAAAAATTGATCTCCAATTATCACATTCCATAACCAAAAAGTTTGGTCCCCAATTGTAACATTCCACGACCAAAAGGTTTGGTCCCCAATTGTGACATTCCACGACTAAAAAATTTGGTCGCCAATTGTGACGTTCTAGGACCTCTTAGTTTGGTCGCCAATTGTCACATTCCACGACCAAAAAGTTTGGTTACCAAAAGGAATGTTTGCACCAACATGCAACAAAATAAACCTGTAATTCATAATAATTTATCCAATCTATTCAATACAATCTATAATTTACAATAATCAATCAAACCAACAATTCACTTGAATCATGAACATTCAACAAAATATATAAATTATTAATTTTATTATACAATTTTGAAAGCCTATTCCACATTGGTGGCATTTTTCGCACTTATTTCGAAGAAAGGAATCCCAATTTCATCTGCAACTGCCTGCACAAAATAAAAACAAAGTCTCATTAAAATCCAGAGTCCCTGTATGAGTAATAGAGATCTACTATCAATGAACAAAAAAACAAGAAAGATGAGAGTTGTTAGCAAGAAAATAGTTTATAGGAAAACAGGGGACACCATGTTGAAGAAAACATCACAATAAATTTTGACTAAAAACAAAATTGTCATATAATTAACATTTAATTTCAAGAGTGTGAATTCTCTAGATTTCATTTCGAATAAAGCTATCCTTCAAATTTTTACAGAATTTAAGCATACTTTTATGCAAAATTTCCATCATACAGAAAAGAAATGTTTATATGGCATTCCTTATTTACACAGATTCCCAATCAAACACTAAATCAAAGCTAAAACTAAAATTTACAGCTTTCATAGGCAGAACAAACTAATAACGCACTTAAAACTTTCAATCTGGAGTTTAATGGTTTTCCCATCCTGCTCAACTGTGCGGATTTTCTGCAGAAGAGAAGATAATAATAATTTACAACTTTACAATCTATGTTAAGGTAATCAGCAACCCAAACCAAGGGAAATAAAAAAGATTGCTTACGAAGTCAACTCCAATAGTGCTAATATAACTTTCCGGATATGAATCATCCTTATTACAAAAATAATAAAAATGGTTAATGAACTTGGCATCTGTCTGGAGGCCACATTTGTCTAGAGACCAGAAAACATTGAAAAATAACACAATCACATCAAAACAACATGGCTAATTAAAGCAATCTTGAAAAAGAAAGAAGGAAACAAAAATGGAGGGGGAAAAGAAGAAGAAGAAGCTGTGTAAAAGAGAGAACTTACAGCAAACCTCAAAAGGAGACATGATTTGCCAACACCCGAATCTCCAATGAGCAAAAGCTTAAACAGGTAGTCGCTGCAAATAAGAAAAAAAAAAGAAAAAGAAAAAAAAAAGTGGAAATAATGTCTGTATCAAAATGTTGGAAAGTACACAGGAAAAGAAAATAGTTTCTTATAATTTCTCCACAAAAAATAAAAATCAATGTGCAAGACCACCCTGTTCCCACAAGTGAATAAAGTAAATTGAAAGCTTAAGAGACTTATAAAATTATTCAAAAATGATAATACACACACACAAGCATTTTGTGCTTTTGGTCATAAATATTACTACCTCTAAAAGTACAAAAGGGTTTCCAATCATTACAACTCAACAGCATTATCTATGCTCATGCAGAAAGGTTGAATAATTAATCAGTTAACAATTTAGAAAGGAAATTGATAAAAGAATAATCCGCCACACTTGCTTGCATGCATAATGAGACAACAGATATTCTAGCCTAAACAAGTCAAGCTTCCCAAGCTTCTAATGAACTCATTAGCTGTAGAGCAAGGTACCAAGTTAATGCAGAGAAAATTTACATCTTTTGATTAAGTACCTGATCTAGAAGGCCTTTTTCTTGGCACTTAAATGAAAGCTAAGAGCCTGCTTGGAGACTGCTCGGAGACTGCCTGACTAGGTGATTTTAACTCTTTTTTGTTGAATTGATTCAGGCACCACACCACATGATTTTAACTCTTTTTTGTTGAATTGATTCAGGCACCACACCATGCTACGCCACGCCTCATAGAGGATTCTTGTAAGCCCTTCAAGAAAAAGCTGCTACTTTTTGTTTAAGCGATTTCATTAATTTCAGAAGCTATCTCATGGAGTCTGCTCAGAACTGGAACTACAAAACATTGGTTAGTCACTAACAAATTATGCCTAGTCTTGAGGGTCTTTTTGGGCAAAATGAAACCTCAAACTGTTTGGTAATGATTTTGTTTTCTATTTTAATTTTCCAAGAAAATGCAGGTGACTTGTTTGGCAAAATGTTTTCAAAAACTGCTCTTAGAAACAACCCACTAACCAGGAAAACAACCCAAACAGTTGTTTTCGGATTTTTGAAAACTGTTTTCGCACACTGTTTTCTAACATACCCAATTTATGAGCTATATTCATTGTTTTGCTTTTTGAATCTATGAAGTTTTGATGTGTTTTCTGTTTGGTTGTTTGTGATTTTCACCAGTTGGAGACAGAGAACCAAACTCACACACAGATTCTTGGAAGCCAATTAGACTCTGGTTTTGTTTAGTTTGGATAGTTGTAGAAAGAACTAAGCCATCCAATCCAACCCATTCAAAGATCTAATAACGAAAGTAATAACATAAGCAAGCTAACACACCTAATCAATTGACAAATAACAATCAATTAACCACATAAAACCAAATAATTAAATCTTTAAGACTACTTTCTGAAATGCAACTCAGAATTGAGAACTATGTAAAGAATTTGGGGGAAATGAACACAAAAAGAAAATCACAACACTAGAAACTAGTCCACAAAATATATTTTGAGTACACAGATTAAATTGGAAAAGAAGAAAAGAAGCCCCATGTGCTTGCAAAACCAGATTTGCAAATATCTACTCATCACAAGATTTTGTTCTCTTAGGCTACTCTGACTATATCAGATCGGACGAAACACCTAAAGTTATCGCAAAAAGATTTAGTTCTTGTAATCCAATGTTATAAGCACAATATTAAGTCACTTCTTCATCCATTTATTTTTGTCTTTTTTTATCACATATTTTTGCTTATACTAGGCTACTCTGACTCTGTTTACCTCTTTGCTTATATCACCTAAAGTTCTGTTTACCTCTTTGTTACAAGCACAAGATTTGGTTTTCTTAGGCTGCTCTGACTCTGTTTACCTCTTTGTTTATATCACCTATACTTTAAAATTGTGCGTAAAAAATTTAGTATTAAGTAGTCACTTTCAGGTTAAAAACAAACAAGCCAAAAAAAAATCATAAGAACGTATTAATAAATAAGAAATGAATAAAACAAAAACACTCACCAATATATTAACATGTTTCAACTTATTTTGTTATTTATTTCAGAATAGGTGAAAAAATTATTATACAATAATGGTTAGGTAAGGTTTGCTCCATTCTATCATCACCATTTATTATTTAATTACAAAATTTCTGTCAAATAGATGGGATTCATGCATTTAATGAGTTATGTTTGATTCATTGATTTATTTAATTTAAAATTTTCCTATTATTATGTTCATATAGCATTAATGGTAATCAAGATAACAGTTAATATGATCACGTTATTTATTATTTTTTTATAAATATTTTTATTTTCTATTTTATAGGTAACAGATGATCTCTAAAAGAAAAGAAAATGGCCAAATACAATAATGGTTTCTTTCTAGGGCCAACATAATAGTGGTGATTAAATAGTCCCTTTTTTGACAGGAAGGTTTGGTCATTGACCCATCATTGAGAGCATCATACCAGCATCAACAATTCTACTTACCCCCAAAAAATATTCAATGTACGTGTGGCCACACAATTTATCACAAAATTGGACACAGCTTTTTCAAATTGAACAATTTTTGAAATTTATAGAATAATTCTAAGTCCACACAATTTTATCACAGAATTGGATACAACTTTTTCATATGAGATGTAACCATTAAATGTGTGAGTCCCACCTCCATATGAAAGAAGTTGTGTTTGATTATGTGATCGGACTATGTGCACGTAAAATAATTGATCAGAATGAGAACTCACTAGTAGGGTCCGCATTGACTGAACTAATGAGCTGCAAAGAGACTTTTTGTCCTAGGAGCTCATGAACATTATCAAGAGTGGAAGGATTGAAGTCATTGAAATCCAAAACATTATTTTTCTGTAAGGATGCCCAGGCCAAGTTCCCTAATAACCTGTTCTTCCAAAAATAGTCTTCACTTTAATGTTGAGGCATTTCAATCTATTCTTCAATTCTTCCAAATCTCTGCAATAAAATAAAAATGTATACTCAAAGATTTGTCTTGGTCACCAGGTAATTAAAGAGAGTATTCAAGATGTCAAACTATAACTATTAGGCTAAATGGGAAAGAGAAAACAGAGGGGAAGAAAAAAGTTTTTTATTAGGATCATTGTAGAACTAAAACCCCTTACCATGAAGATTCAAGAAACTACTAAAATGTTATTTTAAATTCATCACGACAAAGTTCTCAAAAAAAGGCTTGAAATCCATTTGTAAACTATGAAACCTAAATTTGAACTAGTTCCTTGAATAAATAGTGCCAAATCATTTAATTTCCTATCCATTAAATTCAAACACAACTTATTCCAAATGCCACGAAAACCAAAAAGGCATTCTTTCCAAACGCTATGAAAATCACACCAGTCATCCATACACAAAAGTTGCATTTCCAAATTCTCCTAATTGTTACCAACAAAATTCACATTAGATCAACAGCTATATCTATGGTGATAGAGAAGGTCAGATTTGAAGAAATGTGCATACCTTGTAGATTTCAACTAGCACGTTGTCAAGAGATTCCTGAGATTGAAGGGAGCATAGATAGCAGAAAGATGGAAAATTGAGCTTTCATTTATCATTTTTAGAAAATATGCATAAAATTCAAACAATATCAATGCCCAAATCTTTAACCCACGATAGTACAATCAAGGTTTGGCTTAAAGCCATTCTCCTAGAAAACTGATCTTTTACCCACCATTTATTAATTTATCATATAAAATTAACCAAATTTATGTTGGTTCAGAATGGGAAGAAACAAGTAGATATCAGCAAATATCAACAATCAATCTAATCTATTAATAGTTCTTCTCCCTCATCCAAAATCCTATGAGCTTGTTTTCTAAATTTTTGATTTGATTATAAGAATAGCTAATGGCATTCATGAAGTACCATCAGCAATGTAATTTTTTCAAAGGGGTTTCAAAACCTCTTCACTACAACAAGGATTGCCATGTCCAATTTTAGCAATCCATCACTAGCATTTGAACCCTTGAACTGAGGTGCATGGGGTCATACTCAAGAGAAACAGGCTCAAGGAGGGCTAGTATGGATTCGTATGTCCAAACTGCACTAAATAGGATTGTTCATTCAAATTCAATAGTTCACTGATGGTTATAACTGTGCTCATAATAATAAGAACAAGGACAAGAAGAAAATACCATTACAATGTGAAACTGTTAAGCATCATCAACCCCAGAAATTGAATAGCAATTGCTTTGCCTCAAGTATTTATATTCATTTGCACTTTTCAAATTCAACATCTCTGTGTTACAAAGCAACAAAGTGTAAAAGAATAATAAATACATAAAAAACAAAAAAGGGGAAAAGGTGTAACATAGAGTGTAATATAAAGGTTGAAAAACTAGGCTAGCATGTGACCTTGTTATGCACATATGCACAAATCTGACACAAACTAGGATATATCAGAGATTACAAATGCACAAATCTGCATTCGTAACATGCATGTTCCAAACATGTACCAAAAGGCTCAAAGCATAACAAGGATATATCAGAGATTACAAATGCAGTACCCTCTAGGCCACAACAACCGAACCCATTTCAAACCATCACATTATTACAAATCAGTCAGTCTTCTTTTGGGGTGTACCTTCTATTTTTCTTTCTTCGTGATATGATTAATAGATAAAATAAACAACATTGAATTATTTGGTGAAATGGGAACACCTGAATTGGTAATGGAATGTAATTCCTGATTTGTCCATATATATACGTAACCCTCCCCCATTCTCAATCCTAATTTCTAACTGTTGTGTCATCGTGTAGTGCTTATGAAACTGCAATAATAAGGAGAACATTTATGATCGTACGACTTACATGATCCAATCACAATCACATGCACACTCAACTCAACTCACATATGCTAACTGAGATCATATGATAGATTAATATGTATATATGTATTATAGATGGGAACGTGTAAAATAATTATTAAAAAAAAAACAAAAAACAACCACCAAGGAATAAAAACCAGATATAACAGCACCCTCTCATATAGGATGGGTTTCATAGTGTGTGAGCTAACACCCATATGATTTTTTTTCCCCCTTTTTAACGGATTATAGGACTCCCTCATTTATAAATAAATGGATGATTGGGTATACAACTCTTCCAAGAACGTAGATAGAGTCTATTGATTGAGCATACTCCCCCATCTCTTCTCCCTCTATACCACACATAACAAGGATATATCAGAGATTACAAATGCAGCACCCTCTAGGCCACAACAACCGAACCCATTTCAAACCATCACATTATTACGAATCATAACAAAGCCCTGAGAAATCAAACCAAGACAACTGAACCCATTTCACAAATCAACACGAAATTAAACAGAATCAAGCATATAAAACCCTAGAGCAACAGTCAGAAAGGGGAAAATAAAGGAAGGGGGAGAGAGAGAGAGATCGAGAGCGAGTGAGGGAGAGTGAGAGGAGAGAGACAAACAGACAAACAGACCAAGAGCGAGAGAGCAAGTGAGAGAGAGAGAGAGAAAGAGAGAAAACCTGTGATCTGCGGCGGCAGCGATGTGCGACGTACGGTGAGCGACGGTGGCCTGTGGTGAAAAGAGTTGGGGTGATGTTTGGTCGAGAAGGAGCATCTGTGTGAGAGAAAACAATACATTTTTGTCTAAACAGAGACTAGTCTGTTTTGTCTAAAATTTTCACACTTTGGCGACCAACTTGGTTTTTTCTTTTTGTTTTGTTGGAAAATGTTAATTAATTTTGTTAGTCCCTCTAAAATTTAAAATATCTCCCTCTAAATATTTTAGTTCTTCGGCGATCAAAATAATTTTAGTTGCTGAAAATTAATTTTTGGCATCAAATTTTATGTCGCCAAAGATAAAAAGTAATTTTTTATTTTTTATTTGGTGACTAAATAATTTTAGTAGCCAAAACTAACTATTTGGCGACTAAAAAATTTTTTAGTCGCTGGAAATATATTTTGGGTGACTAAATTTTCGGTCGCCAACGATAAAAAATAATTTTTTATTTTACATTCGGCGACTAAATGGCTTTAGTAGCCAAAACTAAATATACGGCGACTAAAATATTTTTAGTCGTTGAAAATAACTTTTTGGCGACGAAAATTTTGGTTGCCAAATGATAAAAAATTATTTTTTATTTTCCATTCGGCAACTAAATTGTTTTAGTAGCCAAAACTCAATATACTGCGACTAAAATTTTTTTTTGTCACTAAAAATAAGTTTTTGGCAACCAAACTTTTGATCGCTAATTCCACAACCAACTTATTTTGATTTTTCGCGACCAACTTAATTTTTGGTAGCCAAAAGGTGACCTTCCGCGACCAAATTTGAAGCTGGTCACCAAAAGCATACCATTTTTTGCGACCAACTTTAATTTAGGTCACCAAAATATGACCTTCTGCGACCAACTCATATTTGGTCGCCAAAAACAATGAACATTCACGACTAACTCATATTTGGTAGCCAAAATGTAACTTTTAGCGACCAACTTTTATATTGGTGGCGAAAAACGGTCGCTAAAAGTGCAGATTCTTGTAGTGATATCTTCTTTAGGGAATATATTTGGCATGATAGTGAATATATTTGTGTACGGAGGACATGTTTTAGAATGATTCTTTGTTTTGTATGGAATAATTGCTTGCTTGTTTTCATTTTTCAGAAAATACTTTTAAGAAAATTCTACTTTCTTATTTTTCGTATTTTTTTGTTTTTACTGAATTTTTTTAATATTTTAAGCAATTTTTTTTTTTACTTTTTAGACACACCTAACATAAATACACCTAAAAAGTAAAAAAAAAATTGTAAAAAAAATCTTTTAAAAATTCCTTCTTTAGGGAATATATTTGGCATGGTAGTGAATATATTTGTGTACGGAGGACATGTTTTAGTATGATTCTTTGTTTTGTATGGAATAATTGCTTGCTTGTTTTCATTTTTCAGAAAACACTTTTAAGAAAATTCTACTTTCTTATTTTTCGTGTTTTTTTGTTTTTACTGATTTTTTTAATATTTTAAGCAATTTTTTTTTTACTTTTTAGACACACCTAACATAAATACACCTAAAAAGTAAAAAAAAAATTGTAAAAAAATCTTTTAAAAATTCACCAAATACCAAAAATATAAAAAAAAAATACAAAAATTCAGTATATTTTTTTGTATTTTTATGTATTTATTAATTTTTTAAAATATTTTTTCACAAACTTTTTACTTTTTAGATACAGCTAACTAAGGTGCATCTAAAAAAGTAAAAAAAAAATGTTTAAAATTTAAAAAATATTCACTAAAAACAAAAGAATACGAAAACCAAAAAACTCAATTTTCAAAAAACTTAATCCAGAAAACTCAAACCAAACACACTAATTAGTATTTTAGGTTGGAATGTACTTAATTTGTATGAAATTTGACATTAAAAGTTATTCCTTTTTGGATGGTTGAAAGTGAAATGAATGCAAATTGCGGAATAATTGATAATAGATATATTGTTTTATTTATATATATGATCCAGGTTGCATGAAATACATACATGTTGTAGACAAATTAATTAAAAAATAAAATAAAATTATGTTTATGGCGACTAAACAATTAATAGCCAAAAATGAAGTAAATATTTTTAGCGACTAAATAGTTAGTAGCTAAAAATAAAATGGAAAAAAAAACTTTTGGCTACTAAATATTTAGTGGCTAAAATAAAAGCAGACTTTAGGTGACTAAGAATTTAATAGCTAAAAAAATAAGATTAAAAAAAATCCTTTGGCGACTAAAATTTTGGTCGCTGTAGATACTTCAAGTTTTGGTGACTAAAGTTTTAGTAAAGGAAAATGAGATTTTTGGCAACTAAAAATATTAGTCGCTATTTATAGGACTTTTGGCGACTAAATATTTTTTAGTCACCAATACCTTCCTCGACAACCTTCCAGCGACCCTTCCAGCGACCAAAATATTTAGTCAGGCAAAATTTTCGATGACTAAAATCGTACTTTCGGCGACTTAAAATTTGGTCGCCAAAGTTAAATTTCTTGTAGTGTATGCATGAAACAGAATGAACCAAGTCAAAACAGGATTTCTAATATATTAAACATCATTGAAACTCTTTTACTTGGTTTAGCTTCTATAGAAGCATGATTTCAAATTCTTTGGAAATTACCGAGTTTACATTTTTGCTGAATTGTTCCATGATGATTGTGTTGACGCTTCTCACACTGAACTTGCTATGAGAAACAAAACTTAGACACCAAGAGGCCCAATTCTATTTCTTTAATCTGCAAATCTGATGGACTTGCATTGGATAATGTTAGAGATTCATTAGTCAAATTCTCAAAGAGTACAGAAACTTCCCTAAGTGTGGGGATATATTTCTGAGTACCAACACGTGGCAAGGTGACGCCGACGTGTCAGCCGAGGTGCCACGTGTCCTGGTCGTGACGCCGAGGTTATCTCGGCAAGGCCGAGGTTATCTCCGAAGATATCGGAATCCGAGATAAGAGGATAAAAGATAAGGGACAAGAGTCCTAGAATAAATAGGAGACTTAGTCAAGATGAGGATAAAGCTCTTAGGGAGTTTATCTTTATCTCTTGAAAAGTCCAAAGTAAGTATTGAGTTGGAATCCATAGAAGTCAGGCTTCTAGTGGGACTAGGACTGAGTTAACTATAAAAGAGAGGCACCCCCGTGGGTCTAAGGTATGCAATTTTATGCTTTGAGTAGTGAGTTTAGCACTTGATTATCTTTGGTAGATATACTGACTTGATTGTCGGAGTGCCCCCGGGTGGAAGAGCCACCGCCGGAGCCTTTTCTTTCTGTTACAGGTTAGCTGAAACCATCTATTCTACCAGTGCTCTCTAACTGATTACTAAACGGGTAGTGTGGTCAAAAAATTACTCACACAATTTGGCGCCGTCTGTGGGAAATTAGAAGAATAGATGGCCAGTAACGCATAGAAGGAAAAGATAGGGGACGACACTCCTGCTGGGAGTGGCAGACCTATAGACCTTGATGTCGAAGGAGACAACTGCAATGCAGAAACTCGTGACCAGGGCCACGGAGAGAAAGACGTCGGCCAAGAGGGCGACACTTCGAAGAAGACAGACCAAAGCAGGTACTATAACAAAGATAACCTCCAGGTATGGAGGGATAGGTGCCTACGGAGGGATGAAAAAGTAAAAGAATTAGCAAATAAGTTGGCAGACCTGCAGTCGGTCATCAACGTCATGATGCAAAACAATGTCATCCAGCCACCGTACCTGTTGCAGGATACGCCGATGCCAGCAACTAATACCCAGAAGGGAGGAAGAAGAACAATCCCCAAAGCCCCTTAGCACACTAGGAGCAGAAGGCACTCTCATTAACCTTCCAGGGAAGTCGGACGAGAGAAGTCGAGACGAGAGGAGTCCCGAAGAACGTATCACACGAAGGACCCAGAGCCCAAAGAACATCGACATGTTCAAGGGTAGGCGCTCTACTTTGACACAACCTATGGAGAGAGATCAAAACGGGTCCACCACGAGGCCGAAAGTAGTGTGCCGAAGAGATTGAAGTCCAAAGATAGCCGAGCTCCAGGGAGGAGTAAATAAGACTTAAGAGATTATCTCAAGAGGAAGCAACAGAATGCTGAAGCCGAGGTAACTTCCCCGGTTAAGCTGAGGACACCATTCTCGGTGGAACTGGACAAATTTGAAGCACCAAAGAGATTCAGTATGCTGAGGTTCCAAATATATGACGGTAAGTCAGATCCCAGCTTTCACGTTGGACTATACCTGAATTCAATGGCATTATATAGTGGGAATGAGCCGTTGCTCTGCAAAGTATTCCCCTCATCCTTTGGGGAGATTGCATCAGATTGGTTCCATAAACTACCGAAGGGAAGCGTAAAGACTTGGGAAGGCCTGGCTGAGATGTTTGTGGCCAGGTTTGTGACGAACAAACTACAGCCCCTGAGGGTCGACGCACTGATGGCTTTAAAAATCTCCAAGGATGAAGGCCTTAGGGCCTACGCAAAAAGGTACTACGAGGTGTTCAATCGAATACCCGAATGCAACCAAGAGGTGGCGGTCGTGTCTTTCAAGAACGGCCTGAAAGATGACTGTCCACTACGGAAGTCTTTGGCAAAGACATTGCCAAAAAGCATGGAAGAACTCATGGCGAGAATCGAGAAGTACGCCAGAGCTGAGGAGGATGCGTTGGGAAACAAAGAGACAAAGCAAGAGAAAGGAAACGGCTTGCCGAAGCGAAGCCGAAGTAACAATGGATCGATCAAACAAGAAATGGAATTGAGGGCTAAACAGGCAGTGACGACTGTGTTCCGAATCTCGGTCCACAAAGTCCTGGATCAAATACAAAACCAACCCTATTTTAGAGGACCGACAAGAACACCAGAGGAATTATGGGAAGAAACGTCGGTAGGCGTTGTGCTTACTACAATGAAGAAAGGCACCCAACTCAGGGCTGTAGAGCCCTAAAAGCACATTTAGAAGACTTGGTAAGGCAAGGTCATCTGAGGGACCTTGTCGATGAGGCCAGGACTAGAGAAGAACAGGCAAGATTGCCTCAAGCACCAGTAGCTCCGCCTCCCCCAGCTCAGCAACCACAGGCAGGAGGACCACGGGTGGTTAATGTAATTCACTCAAAGGTGAACGAAAACGACATACGAGGGGAGACTCAGAAGGTAAAACACCTACAACACGTAAACCAGGTCGGACATAAAAGACCTCTGCCTGAAGAATGCCAGGGACCGACGATAGCCTTTACTGAAGCCGACCTAGAGATGGTCCAGCATCCGCATAATGATGCCTTGGTAGTATCCCTCCAAGTTGGGGAATGCCAAGTGAAACGCATCTTGATTGATCAAGGCAGCTCTTGCGACATCATGTATGTTAGATGTTACAAAGAGCTGGGCCTTCATCCTGATGACTTGGAGCAATCCAATGGCCCGATGGTCGGCTTTAATGGAACGCCGACGTGGCCACTGGGCGCAACAAGCTTGGAAGTACAAGCTGGCACTAAAAAGATCAAGACAGAAATCATGGTGATTGATACGCCCTCCCCTTACAACAT